CCCCCACTCCCCCACTCTAAAAACACATTTACTTACTCAATTTGCGCTCTAGCGGCATAATCTTTTAGAAAGCCTTATTTGGGGGGGGGGTATTTGTTATGGGTTTGTGTGTGTGTGTCTTTGTTTTCTTTACTATAAATAGACCTTCCATTTGTTAGCCCTCACATAAATTCACAGTTTGAATTCACACAAAATATGGTTATATATAGTGGATATGACATATGTGAGGTAGCAAAAAAATATATACCTATCTATACTAATTTTAATTTTAAACAATCCAAAAAAGCTGTTTTCTATAAAAATATGAAAAATATTTTTATTGGATTAAAATTGAATGAGTGGCACACAGCAATTATTTCCAAATTTGGTGTGCGCGAAAATTGTTCATTCATGTGTGTATTTGAATGAAAATTATTGAGAAAATGTGTTGAAATTGAGGTTAGTAGTTGGAAAAGAAAGAAAAGAAAATTGAAAATAAATTATTTTAAAATGAAAAAAAAGTTGAGATAAAAATTTTAGACAAAAATAAATAATTATTTTTAGTTATTGAAAAGAAAACTAAAAGAAAAATAAACAAAATTTAAAAGAGAATATTTATTTTTGATTTAAAATAATGTTATCGAAAAATAAATATAAATTTTATCAATAAATAAATAAAAATAATATCTATTTCTCTCAACTAAACTAGTTAATTTTTTATCTAAATAAATATTTGTGTGTTATCTATTTGATAGACAAATAAAATATATAAAGATATATTATTTGTTCATTAAACAATAATTTCTTTACACATTTATTTGAACGGATTTATTGTCCTTTGACCTCTTTTTTTTCTTTTATTTTTTGCTCTTCAATCATTAAATATTTTAGTTTATTTCCTCTAACTTTATCCGGGAGGATTGGAGACAGAAGAGATATTTAATTGACAAGGATTACTTTCCCAGCTGTTAAATAAAAGAATTTTTAGGGTTGGAGGAGGGGAGGAAGGAAGGGTTAGAAATATAGACATATAAATTGTTGTAAAAAATTTAAGGAAAAAAACAATTAAAAATTAAAGTTTAAATATATTTTAAACAAAAAAGTACGTCTCTTTTAGTATGTTAGATTTTTTGTGGAATGTAGCCAGCATGGTACCTCTCAACATTTTAAAGGACCAAATTTTAATATTATTTAAAATATTTAAATACATTAATATTGAAACTACGAATTTTTCGGGACAGAACAGAACAGAAATTTTTGGTTCAGATCATACTAATGGCAAGAATATCACCTAACCCTTTAGCAAAATCTTCCCTTACCATCCCCGTACTTTTTCTTTTGCTTAAAACAATTCTGATTTCTTGGAATTCCAGGCGTTGCCTTCTAGCAATAATTAATTTTTATTTTTTATATATTAAATAAAAAATATATATTTATATGTCATATAATAATAAATCATAAGTTACCCCGCTAGTAAAAAAATGAAAAGTGACGACATTTTTTAATATATGTATGTAAAATTTTAAAAATCACTGGTGAAATCGAGAAATTAATTTAAAATTAAAAACAAATATTTAAAAAAAATTGGTAAATGTCCAGTTGGCGGTCTACATGTACGCAAAGAGAATCTGCTTTTTTCTTTCCTTTTCATGCATTTTTTGCGTTGGGAGAAATGCTCCGCTCATTTTTCCTTTTCTGCCATTTTTCCTTCTCAATACATACAGTATGTTCTCCTGTTCCTACTTGCCAAATAAAAATAATATCTCTAATAAAAAATTTATTTATTTAACAAATGATAAATTTTGGATAACATTCTCAAATAGATTTATTTAAAATATAGGGCGGATAATAAAAACTATGAGGGGGAAGATGGATACAAAAACTGGGCCCATATCTTTACTCAATATCGATATCCTGATACCACGATAATCAACGTACATATAACAGTTTATGTCTCCTTAAATATTATTTTGAAATTTTTTAGATCATTATTTTGGGCTTGTTAGAAAGCCATAGAAAGCTGCTATAAGATAGCAATAATCCTACATTTCAGAATTTATTATTGTAATTGTTATAATCCAAAATCTATCATTTGTTAAATAAATTTTTTATTAGAGATATTATTTTTATGGCTCTACTCCAGTTTATGCGTCCAATGAAAGTTTATGCGTCCAATAAAAAGAAAATTGGATTTTTCTTGGTATTGCACAGTTGGGGTATGGCTCCACAACATTTCTTCATGTTCGGGACCTACGTCCACTGGGTCTGGGACCATTCCTTACCCTATACCTCGAAATTTTTTAAAGTTACAGCCAATTTTTTAAAATTTCAGAAAAACGATTATAACTTTCAGAAATTTCGAGGGGTCGGGTAAGGAACGGTCCCAGACCCAGTGGACGTAGTTCCCGAACATGAAGAAATGGTTTGGAGCCATACCCCAACTTTACAATACCAAGAAAAATCCAATTTTCTTTTTATTGGACGCATAAACTTTCATTGGACGCATAAAAGTCGATTGGACGCATAAACTGGAGTAGAGCCATTTTTATTTGGCAAGTAGGAACAGGAGAACATACTGTATGTATTGAGAAGGAAAAATGGCAGAAAAGGAAAAATGAGCGGAGCATTTTTCCCAACGCAAAAAATGCATGAAAAGGAAAGAAAAAAGCAGATTCTCTTTGCGTACATGTAGACCGCCAACTGGACATTTACCAAAAAATTAATTTAATATTTTGAGATGGTTAGCTTGAAAAAGAAGGCTTTACAAAAAAATTTAAAAATTAATCCAACAGTTTTTATAGACAAAATATTATTTTAGCAAAGAATTTTGAATTTAAGGAGAAGCTCTAAACAAATAATTGAAAAAAAAAAACTTTTGAAATGAGATTTTAAAAGTAAATATTTATTTTATTATTATTAAAATTTAAATTCTTTTTTAGAAATTTTCTTTAAAAAATATTTTTTTTATCAATAAACTAAAACATTTTTGTTTCCGTGGAGATGGTGAAAATTTAAAGAGAAAAAGAAGAATATTTGTCAAGAACTGCGCAAAAAAAAGTAAATGCGCATTGAAGAAAAAATAAAAGAAGCTTTTTAAATAAATAAACTAGAAAAAAGTAAAAAAATCGTCACTGCGCCACCCACACAAAAATATATTTATTTATTTATTTATTTAATCGATCATTAAAATTTGTTAATAAAATAGAAAAAAATTATTAAAGGGAGTTTTTGTTCTTTTAAAAGAAAAATAGGTAATTCTTCGGTTGTCGCCCCCCCCCCTTTTTTTATGCTTCCCTGACCATTTTGAGCTTTTTTGCTTTGACATATAATAATTTATATATCATTCGAAAGAGCTATCCGAGCTGAGTTGATTGGTACCCGTTCGACTCAGCTCGAAATGCTCTTTCGAATGTATATAAAAGTTAATAGAAATTTCATGGAAAATGTAAAAAAATAGAACATAAAAAGGGGGGGCGACAACCGAAGAATTACCGAAAAATATTTTAAAGAATTTTAAAGGAAAATTTTGAAGGTTTTTGGAAGAAAAAACCAAAAATGGCCGCAGGAATCGATTTTTAACAAGAATTGAAATATGTATGTAGTAAACTAAGAAAAAGTATGGCCAAGAAAGTGAAATATATTTAAGTATGTAGACTTGGAAAACATCAAAAATGAAATAAATATAACAGAAGAGGGAGATAAGGTTAATAATACTTTAAATTTAGTTAAATAAGCATTGTTTGGAGAAGGGGTTAACAACTTATAATCAGATGAAAAGAAATATGTATAAAAATAATATTTTAAATAAACTTTTCTTAAAATATTTTTTTCTTTATTACTTTTAGTTAAACTTAAATATAAATTTGTTGTAAAAAGTGCCAGAATTTTAATTCAAATTTCAAAAATGAACTAAAAATATAAAATAAGGAAAGAAAGGAGAAAAGAAAGTGGGGGTTTTACATATATATTTGGCAAAAAAATAAGGGAGGAAAGGAAATTGGTTTTTGAAAAGAAAAAAAGAAATGGTTGGATGATTGTTTAGTTGAAATGAAATGTCATGGACAGACTGCCGGAAGGCGATGACGACAAGAGACAAAACAACGTCTCTTTTACTATTTTATATTGCTACTTTTTAATATAGCGCAAAATAAATGTGAAAAAATAAGGATTAAAATAAATAAATAAAATATTTATTTAATTGTAATGTTTTTATTATTTGACAAATGTTAATTTTTAGTTTTTTTTTTCTTAAATTAATTTGATAATTTTGCTATTTTAATTGCAAAATAATTTTTATTAATTAATAAATTTTGCAGAAAAATATTTGGAGGAAAATTAGGACATCAAAATTTTAGAAAGTTAAAAAAAAATAAAGAAAATTTTTCAGGTTTTTGAAATCTTGTGAAAGATTTGTCGATTACAAAGACTATCTATCCCTCAAAAATTTATCTGGCAATTTAATAATTTTTATTTAAAAATAAATTATTTAGATATTTTTTCAAAAAAATTAAATAAAAAGAAGGGTTTATAAAAAAATTTTTTAAACTTTTAAAAAACTTGTTTGTAGCATTGGATTTACATACATAAATATACTATTTAAAAATTAAATTTTAATTAAAAATAAAATTAATTCTCGATAAACATAACTACTTTAATATTTATTTAATCAAAAATTTTTTTGAAAATATTTTTAATTCGAAAAGGATAATTTTTTATAGACTGAATATTTAAAATACTATCGTCATTTCCTCCTTTCATTATCGAAATATCCTTATCATTTTTATTTATTTTAATTTCAAATGTTAAATCTTCTTCTTCTTCATAATTAAAATTTGTTTTTCCAATTTCTTTACTAAAAAATAAAAAAAAATTTTATTTAATTTATTTAAATAATTTTTATGAAATTATTATAAAGAATATAGTCAACAATTTAAAGAATATCTTTAAAAACCACTCTCGATATTTTGACTTTGATTTTTAAGTTTGTTATTTAAATTAACAAAAATAAATCCAAAAATAACCTTTTAATTTCTTCCTCTTCTCTTTCAAAATTAAAATTTTTAAAAGAATTTTCTTCAATTTTATTTTCAGGAATTATTGTATATTCAATTTCCTCCATTTGGGCATCAAAATAATAATCACTCCCACTATAAATACTTGTTGAATTTGAAATAAGTCTTTCTTTAGGGTAATTATTACAAATTAAATTATTTTCTGAATAAATAGAAATTGAAGAAAATGATGGGCAAACAGAAGAATTTGGAAGTAAAAATGGGGGTTGAGGAGAAAATTCTAAAAAAAAATTTTTTGAGGAAAAATAATAATTAAATATTTACTTTCTTCTTTTAAATCTCCTCTAAAGGAACAAACATTATTAAAATTAACAGCTAATCTATGATTTGAACAATTAATTGCTTTCGCACATAAAACCAATTCTTGAAGTAATTCTAAATCAATCTGTAAAAATAGTATATTTTGTATATTTCACACTCTCCCTCTCTTTAACTCTCAAAAACACTTAAAAAGGACATTATATTCTTCCTAATTTTGTGTCAAAAATTGGAAATAAGTAAATTTATTAGAATCTCCCAATCATTTATTTCTAAATGTCTCGGACTAAACTGATTGTTTTAAAAAATTATTTTATAACGATTGTCATTTCTTATTACCTTTTCACAAATTTAAATTCTTTTTTGATGATTCCCTCTTATCTGAATAATTTTTTCATTATTTTCCCCACAACCAAACGATTGGCTTAAAAACATTAAAATAGGTAGAAGAGAACAATTAATTGACACAAAAATTTAATTCAGATAAAGAAATTATTAGAGAAAGATTAAAAATGATTTTTCAAATTTCCTATTCAAATTCTTTTTCTCTTTTCAAAAAAAAATAGAAACCTCAAATTCAATTTCTTCATATAATCCAATATTTGCTTTATTATAGCAAAGTAATTGAACATTATTTATACAATTTATAACATTATTAATTTCTAACTAATTTTTAAAAATTATTTTAAAAATTAATTTAAAAATTACCAAAACATTTTCAACTTCAATAATTAAAAAATAATTAAAATAAAAATTATTTTCTTCAATATTTTTGTAAAAGCTAACTTTTCTAAATAAACATTTTGAAGGAAGTAATTGACATAATTCTCGTATAGCACACCAATTATACCAATCAGAAACAAAAGAATTTAATTTTATATTTTCTTTACTACATTTATAACCAAAAAATAAATGCCCTTTTTTGTTTAAAAAAATAATAATTATTTTTTAATTTTAATTAATTACCTCTATAATTTTGTTCTTCTTCCTCTTCCTCTTCTTCTCCCTCATACTTATCTTCCTCGTATTTTTCTTCAATTATATATTCACCCCAAATACTGCTTTGGCCAGTAAAGCTTTTTGTGATACTGCAATCTTTAAAAAATAATTAGTAAATATTTGTTACTGTAAGTTTTTTAAAATATTCCCGGGGTTGTTTTATGGTATTTAAATGTAGCTATTTAATTTCTAATAAGAGAATAGGAAATTTAATTTAAATATTTACAATTTCCTTCTTTATTTCCAAATTCACTTTCATCATCTTCACTTAAGAAATTAGACACCCCTTTCCATTCAACAGATTGTATTTCTTCAAAAATGCAAATTTCTTTATTTTCTCGTTTTTTAATTGGAGAATTATTTGTTTCAACAAATATTGCATCAATATATTTATTTAAATTTTCTTTTTAAAAATTTAATTTTTAAATTTATTTTTAAATAACCAGAATTTTCATTAAAAGAGCAACATTTAAATCTTCTTAATTCAATTGAACGACAATTTTGTAAATTTGGGAAAACACAATTAATTGAATCAAAAATAAAAGTATTGTTTTTATTTGAAAGTAAATTTAAAATTAAATAATTGCTTGAGGAGGAAGGTTGTTGTCGTGGCATTTTTTAAATAAAATAAATTTTTTATATAAAAAAATTTGATAATAAAAATGGTAGTTTTTAATAAATTTTAAAGAATTAAAGCTTTAATTTATTTTTATCAATAAACAAATTTAACAGCTTTCATGTTTTTCCCTTTTGGAATCATTTTTTTAAATTTCAGAATTTTTAAAAATAAATAGACTTTATTTATTTTGTTATTTCTGTATTTGTTAAAATTTAATGTTAATTATTTTAACAGGAAAATTTGAAAAAAAATTATTTTTAACAAATTTTACTCAAAAATTTTATCAAATAAAATTCAGCAAAATGGATGAGAATATTTACTTGTATACATATTTTCCTTTTAAAAAATATTCTATCCAATATCCAAATCTTCTTTTCAACTACATATATCCCAAAGGACAATTAATCAAATGGCCGAACATTTTAAGTAAAAAAGTATTGAAAATATATGTATGTACATATATACTTTTATTGGAAAAAAATTTAAATAAAATTATTTTTGTTGTTTTTTAAATATTTAAATTAGAAAATATTTTTGTAAAAAAATTAAGAATAATCCAAATATAGCTAACTTTTGCAGGAAGGCAGAAACAAGTAAATTGCCGGTTTGTTATGAAAGTAAGCTTTTAATTATAAAATTTGTTTTAATTTTTTTAATTACTGGAAATTAAAAGAAAATTTGTGAAATTTCTTTCAATTTTCCCCTTCAATTTGGAAAATTTGCTAGAAAATTTGTGATAAATATATAGTTTGTATTGTAGTTTTATAGTCTTTATTTTTGGATTAAATAAACATAAATATATATGCAATTATTTTTATTTGATTATAATAAATAATAATTATGTACATATTTTTATAAACAAAATTCCCAATAATTTAATTCATTAATTATTTTTACTGATTTCTCAACTAAAATAGGTGTGCCAAACTGAGAAAATATTAATTTGGTATTACTTAAATGCCAAAAAACATTAATGTTAATAATAAAATTAGCCAAAAAAATAGCAAAAATGTTTTAATGTTTAAAGTCATAAATGTTATAAAATCTAAGGTATTTTCTCTTTTTTTTGTAAGATTATTTTAGAAAATTTACATAATTGACAATAAAAATGTATTTTATGTGATTTTTTATAAATGTGCTGAATTTTTTTAAATAAAAATTTAATGTTAATTTTTAAATAATTATTTTTTTTTCGTTTTATAAAAATAATATTTAAAAAGTAATTAAGTAATGATTTAAAGAGAAAATTTTGTTTAAAAATTTCATTAAAAATTTTAAATAATTACACCATTATTTAATATAAAATGACTAACAATACAGATCCAGTAAGAGATTTAAATAAAAAAATTTATTTTAAATACCGTATATGCTTTAATAAATACCCTGGGTAATTATTGTTTCGATCACTCGCCAGAGGGAGTAATTAATAGAGGGTAATTATTGAATGATAGTAATCAATAGAGAATATACGGCATATCAAATTTTAAAATTTATTTAAACACAAAATTTTGAAATTTTAAATTAATAAAAACTAACAAAAATTTAAAAAATTTATTTAATTAAAACAATTTTTTAAAACAGATTTATGTCGAATTTAAAGATAAAGGAATATCTGCACCCCTAGTTTTGCTTATATCATGCAAAGTTTTTGTTTGTTTAATAGGAATAATTTTAAATGGAGATCTTGTTTTAATTACTTGGAAAACAAAGTTTTTAAATTTAAATTAAATTTTAATTTAAAAAATAATTAAAAAAAGGAATTTAAGAGGGGCTTGTAATGTTCAAATAGCATTAAATGCCTTCTCTATTTGTATTCAACAGAGCAGCACTTTTGTAACTTTATTTGTTGTTTTAAGTGGAAAAAACTTTATTTCGTTAATTTATTGTGGAATTATTCAAGTAATTATTTTAATTTAAAAAATTTAAAAATAATTTTTAAAGATAATTCCTTTATTTTGTTCAATGTTCACAAATGGAATTGCTTTATCTATTGGAGTTGATAGACTTTTAAGTGTTTTATTTCCTATTTGGTTATTAAATTAATTTAAATTTAAAAATTAAAAATCAAAAAAAGGTATGCTTTACACGATAAAAGGAATTATTTGGTAATAATTATTATTTCCTGTTGCATTTATTCTGTTATTGTGCCTGTAATTGGACTTAAAATTTCTTTGGAAAATCCAGAAATGTTTGTAAAATTTTTATATAATTTCTGTTAAACCTGTCATTATTTAATTGATTTTCTTTTTTAAACTAAAAAACTTTTTAGTAGAAATCTAGAAATGTTTGTAATAGTCCGAGTTAAAAATTTATTTTTAAATATTTTAAATTTATATTTTTAAAAATTTCTGAATAAATATATTCTGTATGTAATTAATTTTTTTTAAATTTCAGACCAGTTATGTGCACAGTAATGTAAGAGGAATTTATTAAAATTTTTAAAATTTTAATTAAAATTTAAATTATTTAAGTGATCCAGTACAGAAGGAAGCAAGTTGGATTGTAATTATGATGCTTGTTGTTAATTTAACATCCGTAATTAATTAATCTAATTTTTAATAATTTATTTAAATTAAAAAAAGGTTTTTTGTTATATAAATGTTTGGATTATTTTAATGTTTAAAAAATCCTCAATGAAAAAGAAACAAAGTAATTTTGATTAAATTTAAAATTAAATTTAATTTAAAAAGTAAATGTATTTAAATCCCTTTCAATGATTTTATTAATGGAAATCTGTGGGTGGATAACAAATTATTTAATGAGAATTATTGTTAATTCGGCAAATAATCATTCAGTAAATACTTGGTATTTAATTAATATATCCACAATTGCCCCTTATATTGCTATGAGTTTATCGCCTGTTTCTTTATATATTTTTAGGTATTTAAAAATAAATAAATATTTTTTTCTAAATTTTTAAAAAAAGTTCTGAATACAATAAAGCATTTATTAATCAATTTAAATTTATTTCAACACCAATTGTTCACCCAACAATTTGTCCAGTTATTCCTTACAACCAAATAATTCCACCAAGTAAATATTTTCTAATTTATTTAAATTTAAATTATTTTTTAAGTAAATTCAACTTCTCAATCATCAAAAGAGAAGAAAGTACTCAACAACAATTATTTATAAAGAAAATAATTAAAAATTAAATTAATTTTTTTTATTTAAAAATTAATTGAAAAAATTTTGATAAAAGATAAAGAAGAAAAGTACATATACATATAACGTAATAGGAAGTGAGTACATAAATGTATGAAATAATAAAAAATTTTAAGTTAGACAGGAAATTAAATAATAATTAAATTTTGTAAAATTTATTTTACTCACTGAATTCTTAAAATATATTTATTTACATATTATTAAAATATTAAATCACCTTTTGGCGAAAAAATTAGACATAACTTAAAAATTGATACTAGAAACAATTTCTAATTAACCCAAGTTTAATTATGGAATTTAAATCTGTTAATATTTAAAAATAAATTTAAAAATAACAAAAATCAATCAAATAATCTGATAAAAAATTTCACATGTCTGCACTTTTTTCTTATTTCCGTTAATATTTGTAGTTTGTCTCTTTATAACACAAAAGTCTCTTTATAACACGAACTTTCTCGGGACCGGATCTTGTTGTCATATGAAAGAAAGGAGGGAGAGCGGCATTTTAGAGAGATTCCTTTAAATTAAATTTAAAAATTGACTTTTGCCCTATTTAGGGTATTAATGCACTTAAAGTGCTTAACAGACTAGCCAATAAATTGAGGAAGTGCATCACTACTATTTTATATTTATTAACTCAAAAATTAAATTTAATATTTTTATTAGCTATTAAAATTAAAAATTAAAACAACTTAAAAAACATTTTAAATTTATTTAATTTAAAAAATGTGTTGTTTACTTCCTAAAATTGGTTATTTTTTATTTAATTAAATTAATTATTTTAAATTTTAAGTTCTTTTTATTTACCTCTCAATTTATTTAATAAAATCAACAAAAAATGAAATACAAAATGGCCATTCTAATAGCGAAAGAATAATTAGAAGAAATAAATCTTTATTGGAATTAATTAAAGAAGATTGTGAAAATGAAAAATTTGAGGAATTAATTGAGAGAATTGAAATATTAAAACCTTATACAGAAAAAGTTTCAAAAAATGTAGCTATTAAAATGACAGAAGAATTTAACAAAAACCCGCAAAAATATAAGTCAGATTTTGATAAAGAAATATTTTTGTCGGATGTTAAAGAAAAGAAAATTTGTGGGGAAATAAAAATAGCAACATATAAATTATTAAAAGTATGTTGTTTAAAGCAGCTGGGTTATAGCTATTTCTCTCCTTTAGCTAGTGCAAAAGATGAATCGGTGGCTGGGAACAAACCAGCATTTTCATTAGACCGAACTTGATATACTATATGAGGAATTAATTGAAAATTTATTTTAATTTCTTGAACTGTATTACACCACACCGCCTACTGCAAAGCCTTAGAAAATAAATAGCTATATGCTTTACAGTTGTAAATAATTTGTTTTTATAAAATAAACAATTTTTACCCTAAAGCCGTTTAATAAAACCTCAAATACATAACAAAACTAATTGTTAAGTATTAAATATTTATTTAATTTTCCGGCAATGTATAAATATTAAAATAAAAATTTGGTCAAATCTGCCATAAGTAGGACTAGAGAATATTTGATGATAATTAAACTTTAATTAGGAGGGCTGCCAATAGAAACAAAAATGTAAAACTTGATTATAATTAAATTTCAGAATTCAACAAAAGTTGGTGTTTTCCATGTTGGAGTATTTGTTTGTGGAATTGGTTATTATTAAATTTTAAAATTATTTTTTTTTTAATATTTTTAAGAAATCCATTTTCATCGTCCAGGATTGGAATATTGGATTCCAAAATATTTCCATACAAGATTTGATGGTGGACATTTTAAGTATTTAAATATTTTTTTAAATTTAAATTTTAATTATTTTTTTAAAAAAGAAATTATGATGAAATATTTTTAAAAAATAAAAATGGAGGGGAAAGCCGGAGAAATGTCCAAACAAATTTATCTTTTATTGAAATTGTTGATGTAATTGATAAAAACTTTGCAAAAGATTATACAGCAAAAACATATAATGTAATTACAAATAATTGCCTTAAATTTGCAAAAGAATTAATTAAAACAATTTCTGGTAATTTTAAAAAAAAGAAAATATTTTTAATTAATTTAATTTAAAAAGATAAAAAAGAAAATGAATATTTTGTTTGGCCTACTTCTGTTATATTTCCTTTAAAGAAACCTTTTATTAAGTCTATGGAAACAACCAAAAAATTTATAAAAAGGCAATTATCGAAGAAAAATTAAAAAGAAAGTTTTTGATTTTAAATTAACGAAAAACATAAATTTTTTTAACTTTTTTTAACCTTTACTATGTAAACCCACATAAACCCGCAAATTGTTTTTTTATTAGCTTTTTAAGAAAAATTATTTTTATTTATTATTTTTAAAGAAAATTTCTTCATCTCTGTAAAGTATAAAATTTATTAATTACTGGATAATATTTGTTTATACACCCCTTAATACGAATGCCCCCATAGTATATCGAAAAGCATATGATCAACACCAAATTTTTTATTTCATTATAAGGTTGACTCTGAATCTCCCGAAGTAAAGTTTATCCTCCACTCGTCCATCCTACCCCCCGATACTTACAATTAGCCTATAATTATTATTGTATAATCATTTGATTATTATCCAAAAATTTAAAGTACATATTTTTAAAAACTTTTTATTTTATTGTTGCAACCTTTTCAACGCCAAACTTTTCATCAAAAATTAAATTGAAAGAAAAATTTTTTTGTCAATCCAAAATTTGTATTTTTTTCATCAATTTTATTAATTTTTGCAGGCAGATATTAAATATTTAATTAATTTTTTTTTAATTTCTTCTAAATGGAAACTGAATGTTCAACAGAATTTATTAAAGAAGGTTTAGCTAAAATATACACAGATTCAGAAGCTTTATCATTTTATAATCCAATACAAGAATTTAATAGAGATTTAACGTAAAATATATTTTTAATTGAGCCTTTTCTAACATTTTCTCTTTCAAGTGTTCTTTTATTAAAAACTTTTACAAAAATAAGAGAAGAACAAAAACAACAACAAATGGAAATCGACAATCCAACAAACAAAATTAAATTAAAAATTAAACAAAATTGTGAAGGAATTAAAATTTTGGATGCTTTGTCTGCTTCTGGATTGAGGGCTATACGTTTTGCTTTGGAAATTGAAAATATTGAATTAATTGTGGCTAATGATTTTTCTGAACAGGCTGTGAAAACGATTAAAAGAAATTTGGAATTAAATGGATTTTTAGATGAAAATAAAATTAAAATTAATTTTTCTGATGCAATGCAAGTGAAATTTTTGAGAATTTTTTTAAAAATATTTCTTCAATTTTGGGGGGGGGGGGGGAAGTAATGATTAATTCTCTTTTATGTAAGTAACAAATATTTTTAACTAATTAATATTTAGTTTGTATTGAAATAAGGAAATATGCCGGCTAATAGTTCAGTTCGTACCCCACACTTCTAACCATTTTTTAATTTTTTGCCCTTTCTCCCTTATTTTTCCAAAAACCAAAAATAAAATTCATTTAAAATATTTTCTATCCAAAATTAATTTCTTTTAATTTTTATTTATTTATTTTTAGAGATTTAATGAATGAACATCGAAAATTTTCCAAAAGATTTCATGCAATAGATTTAGATCCTTATGGTAAAAATTACAAAAATAATTTAAAACTTTATCCACTCGATACTCCAATTTTATTAATTTTTAATTTTATTAATCTAGGTTCTCCTTCAATTTTCCTAGATTCTGCTGTTCAATCAGTTATTGATGGAGGTTTTAATTTAATTAAAAATAAATTTTTATTTTTAATTTTTTTTGGGTATTTTAATGGTTACTTCAACAGACACAGCTGTTTTGTGTGGAAATACTCCCGAAGCTTGTTTTAATAAATATGGCTCTATTCCAATTAAACATAAAGCTTGCCATGAAATTGTAAGAAAAAGAAGATTTTATTTTTAATGAAAAATTTTTGGAAAGGGAAATGGGGGAAATATTGGCTTGTTTTTTAACACAAAAATATTTTCAAAAAAAATTTTTTTTTAATTTTTAAAGGCTTTAAGAATCCTTCTTCGTTCAATAGATTCCCACGCAAATCGTTACGGTCGTTATATTGTTCCAATTTTATCAGTTAGTATTGATTTTTATGTTAGATGTTTTGTGAGGGTAGAATCTGGTGCTTCTATAGCTAAAGATAGTGTGACGTTAGTTTTTTCTTTTACTAAAATGATTTTTTTATATTTTTAATAAATTTAGGGCTCCCAAAATGGACCAACTCGGACTGAAAGATCGAATCGGGCCTAAGATTTTTGGTCTGAAAAAGACTCGTACAGCCCGACTCGATAAAATTGAGACCCGAAAGATAACTCGACCGTCGGCCCGACTCGAAAACGGCAACCCCAATAAAAATATTTTTTGTTTAAATATATATAAGTACCTAAATTTAATTAATTTTTAAATAATTTTTTAGAAAATTGGCAAATATTTTTTCTTGTTCAAATTGTCAATGTTGGTCATTCCAACCTTTAATTAAAAAAACTACAAATGCTTCAAATAATTCTCGTTTTTGTCCAATTCATTTAAAATTTAATTCTTTAATTAATTTAAATGAAGAAAATAAAATAAAAGAGCCAATTTGTTCTTTTTGTGGGTGTAAAGCTATACATTTTGGAGGGCCTATTTATATTGCACCAATACACGATAAAATTTTTGTTAAAAAAATGTTGGAAAGGTTTTTATTTATTTAAATATTTAATTCTTTTTAAAGTTTAAAAAAAGAAAATAGTAATTTTTCTTTTGGAACAATTAAAAGACTTGTTGGGGTTTTAACTCTTGTTTTGGAAGAATTAAATGATCAGCCATTATTTTATGAATTTGAACAATTAATGAGAATAATTAAATGCTCTTCTACACCAAAAAATACTTTTGTACGTTCAGCATTATTAAATGCCGGATTTAAATGTTCTGGTTCTCATTGTGGCCCTCAAGCATTAAAAACA